TAAGTGCTCCCGTGAGATGAGAGTCATAATGGAGCCTGTGTGGGGTGATGCCACAGCCTGTCCTGAAGCTCACCCCCTAGCCTAGTGTACAGCTGACCACGGCAGGCTTCCAGGAGAGCTGAGAACTTGAGGTGGTTTTCCACAATCCTGAATTGGCTGGCAGAGTTCCAGAGTGTTTTCCCAGAGAGCATGGACACGTTTGGTTCTTTGCATCCCGCTCCGTCCTTGTAAGGGCCCTGGTGCTGTATTACATACACAGGCTTCCACTGAAGAGTGTAGTATAGGACAGTCCTTCAACAGATGTATTTTCTGTCCTCAAAAAAAAAAAAAAAAAAAAAAAATTTGCAGAGCCACCAGACTTGACCTACCCTGACCAATGTAGATTGAGAGCTGTTTACCTAAACACTATTATGTAGACCTTGTCAGCCTTGACCAGTTGTTGCTTTTGAGCACAGTGAGTTTGGGAGTCAGTGAACTCCAGTAGTGGAGACAGAAGTCACTTGCTTGGCAGTCACCTGTCATCCTTTCTCCCATATGCAGTCATCCATTTGTCACCACGTTTTGTGAAAAGCTGAACGGGGAAGCTTAAGAAAAATGCTTTGCTCTTGTCTCAATGATAGAACGCATTTCTCATCGCTGGTAGCATGGTGGTAACTTTTCATTCCTCTGGCAGTTTTTAAAGACTTATTTGACTTTGGGGGAACCTGCAGCATATCTTAAAGTCACAGTTCAAAAGTATAAGACGGGGGGAAAAATATAAGACAGGGTTGTTCATTTTCAATTTTGGCTGAAAAGTCTTAACTTCTACCGTGGCACTTCAAAGTTCTGGAAAACTTGGCTTTAAAAATGGATGCTGATAGGAGATGGCATACTTAATGACAAATGTATCTATAGAAAGCTGTTAAGATGCAGATTATCCCCCCCTGGGGTGGGGGAGGGAGATCAAAACTGCCAATCTGTAAAATGTACTCGATCGAGGGAGGCATAGACTCTATCTTTGCAAGCGCTCTGATTGCAGGGGACAGTATAGCAGCATGTGGCATCATAACCCAGAGCAGGCAAATCAGCTTGATGACTTTCAAAGCCAGGAATACTGCTGCAGGCAAGGGTACTCCAGTCTAGGAGAAATTAAAACATATAGAGACTGTTATTAATTCCATATCTATTTTTGTATAGTCAAATCTGTATGCAAATCCTTAGCATCTCATTTCCGCAGATTAATCTAAAAGTGAAGAGTGTTATGTGAAGAGAATGTAATGATAAAGCTTGGCAAATAACACTGCGGAAGAAACGTGGGCCGCAAACTTGGATGCTTTCTTTAAAATTTATTTTTTTGTGCTGAGAACAAAAGGTTTTTATTTATATGATCGTTTGTAAATTATTTCAAAGGGGGAAAGCAATAGAAGCAATTTCAAAGGTTTTCCCTTGCAGCCTTGACTTGGTAAAAGTTACAGTGCTAGGTTTTTTAGGCACCTCCTGTGGTTTAACATTCCAGAAGTAATCAACCAAATAACTAACTCGGATTTTTATTTTTCCTTCCACCTAGTAACCTAGTATCTCATTTCTAAACATTGTCATGGGAGTGAAAATTTATATGTAAGGGTAAGAAATCTAATTACTGCCTGCAGATTTGGGAGGGGGGGAGGAAACTCTTATGAATGCATCTCTAGAAGAGAGCAAATAATAATTCTGAAGAGCATGAAGATAAATTGTATGCCCTGCCTAGGAGAGAGGATGTAATAGCTATATTTGAATCCATTGGTTGTACATTTAATCTATAATGGGCAGAGTCTGATACATATAGTGGTATAAATATTTTCAAATAGTGTTATAAACAGATAGTTTACTGCAGTAGATATTAATTCTGTCCCATCTTTCTAAAACAAGGAGAGAAACTGTCGAAGTTTTGAAGCAATGGGTGGGAGATTCACCTTCTGCTCCCTCTCATTTGGAGAAATGATTATAGGCAAGCTGGACATTCATCTGGTGCTTATGGCCCAGATCAAAAGCACTTGGCAATCATTTTACCCTGAAGACTTGTGTGGTCTCAATAGATTTGATTATTCTTGTGTAGTTATGCTGAGAAAGAATGATTGGACATTCAATTTTTAATCAGATAAAAGAAAAGGAAGGTTGGGAGGAAAAAGCAAACATACCTCTGTGTTTATTTGGACATATATTTTGACTCTATGTAGGCATTTCAACCTCAGCTTGCTTAAGTGTATTTTCTTTTCCTTTTATTTTATTTTAAAATGAGACATTCAATAGGAAATGCAGAGAAGACTTTCTTTGAGGGCAGGAAGCTCATTTCTCTCTGCTCTTTGTGGATTTACTCTGCAGATAAAGCTTTCATTGATCTTAAAAGTAGTTGCAGGCTTCAGAGAGAATATTAAAAAAAAAAGCCCTCCAGTTAATAAAAGCCATAGTCAATTATATGAAAGAAATAATCTCCTTATTGTGATTGCACGAGAGAGTAATGATTGGCCTGGACAGGGTCCCTTCCCTTTATGTAGCCATTGGTATTGATTGATTATTCGGCTCAGTTAAGGACTGTGCACACATCCTCTGGATTCTTGTTGACGTGATTCCTGGCCACCGGAGTTGATGGTGGTGACCGATCCAAAGTACTGGAACTGTCAAAGCAAAAATTATACGGAACAAAGTTAAGCAGATAAGGAAGACTTTGTTCAAACTATTGCAATAGGGGAGGGAGACCAGAATGCAGTCTGAAATGAACTCTGCTGAAGAAGAGGCAGGAGGGTTTTCAAACACTGAGCTTTTCTCAGCGAGAGAAGTACTGAAGGAGTTTTGGGGTAAAAGTTGATCGGTGTGATGTATTGAGCACATTCAGTTACCCTTGATTTTGTAACTGTTTTCCTCTGTGATCAGACCATGTGTATTTGCTGATTGGCGCCCAGCAAAGTGAGGCTCCTCCCCTCCTCCAGAGAGACCAGGAGACAGAGAGATTATCTTCCATGATGATTACGTTTCAATGGGATGGTTCCTGGGGCTTTGAGGAAGTTATTCCCAGGTTGTAAAACTTGCATAAAGCTTCTTAAATGATTTCTGTCTCAAGGAGGCAGAGAAAAATTTTACACATTTTTCTAAAGTAAGTGCAGGAAAAGGGATGTCAGGGGCCAAGAAGACAGAGAGAGGGCTATCTAAAGTTTAGTCAAACTGAGAAAAACGTTACAGCTGTTTTGGTCATTATTATAACAGTACATACTTTTTGAATTCAAACAATTTCAACAGGAAACACCTTTGGTCTGACTCAGTTTTAGAACTTCATTGTAAAATTGGCTGCTTCTTTGTGATACTTACTAAAATGTTACTCATTTTATTTATTTTTATTTTTTAAATTTAATTTTATTTTTTCAGCGTTCCAAGATTCATTGTTCATGCATCACACCCAGTGCTCCATGCAATACGTGCCCTCCTTAATACCCACCACCAGACTTACCTCCCCTCCCTGCCCCCTCCCCCCCAAACCCTCAGTTTATTTCTCAGAGTCCACAGTCTCTCATATTTCATCTCCCCCTCTGATTTCCCCCAATTCACTTTTCCTTTCTTTCTCCTAATGTCTTCCATGTTATTCCTTATGCTCCACAAGTAAGTGAAACCATATGATAATTGACTCTCTCTGCTTGACTTATTTCACTCAGCATAATCTCTTCCAGTCCCGTCCATGTTGATACAAAAGTTGAGTATTCATCCTTTCTGACGGAGGCATAATACTCCATTGTATATATGGACCAATAAATGTTACTCATTTTAAACGAGCATTGTATATGTGGACCAATAAATGTTACTCATTTTAAATGAGCATTAGGTACTATTTCTTAAGAGATTTTGGGGGGGGTAGTAGGTTTGCTCTCATATTCTTGTTTATTTTATTACCTAACATTTACTATCTCCTAGTGTTATTTTCTTGTAGGGCTTTTTTTATGTGTTTTTTAGTTCTCCCATTTGATGGTAAAAATTAAAGGAGATCAGTCATTTCTGGGTTTTACAGGGCTCAATGTACACCACAAATGTGAAACTAAGTATGAGGACAGATAGGAAAACTTTGTTAGAAATGTAATGATTTTTTAGTGGTTCTTGATTAAGCAGAAGGTCTTGAGACTTTGGATCTAAGCAATTGTCAGGAGGCTTTGGAAGAGTTGATGACACGGAGTACATGCAGTGCTGTCGGATATGGTCACCCTTTGTCTCATGTGGCTTATCAAGCACTTGAAATGTGGCTAATCTGGATTGAGATGGGTTGTGTCAAACAGACATTGGATTTTGAAGACCATATGAAAAAAAGAATATAAAATATCTCCAGAATTTTTCTATTAACTTCGCATAGAAATGATAATATTTGGGCTATGTTGAGTTAAATAAAATCTATATTGAGGTTACTTTCACTGTTTCTTTTTAGTGTTTCATGTGGCTACTGGAAAAATTAAAATTACATATGTGACTCACATTGGGGGCTCTTGTTATATTCTTTTGGACAGCTCTGGCTCTAGATTTCTTTTGATAAGTCATGTCTTTTCTTAGATATGGTTCCTCCGAAGAGATATCAAGATATCACTGTGTTGGCATAAGAAGGTTAGAGCTGTAAAAATCGCCAGTTTAGCTAAGGACAGGAATTTCCCGTATAATTCTGTCGTGGGCATAAATTGTGTGGAGATTTGTCTATGTGTGATGTTCATTCCCACTCCCTGCCATTCTTTGCCTCTCATTCTGGCCATGCAGAGCAGCTTGCCAGAATAACTGGGGCCTCTTGGTAATCTCAGCATACTTGTTGCTTGCTCTCAACTGGATTGCTTCTGAAATGTTTCTTGAAAATGAAACTGCTTCAAAAATAAGCTGCTTAATTATGTCATGGGTTCACCACGAGGGTATACAAACAGATCCTCAGAGTAGCTAATTTTCCTTTAATTGTATCTCATTCTTATGTTGGAATATCTTATTTCGTATTCATAAAAGCTCTAACCCATGTTAATCCATTACAGGTGGGGTAACTAACACAGCCCAGTATCAGAACAGACTAATGGTGTATGAACCTAACCAGGTAAGAATCATATAAGAAAAACTCATTACCTTAATTAAAATGAATTTTAGAAGATTTCCACAGTAATTAGTAGTTGAAATGCCAAGTCTGTACATACGCATGCATCTTCAACTTGTGTAGAGAAAAGGAAGCATCTGGATAAACTGCCTTTTGGTTGCTTTTTTTTTCCCCTCACAAAATTTCAGCTCCTTTAGTTTTATGCGATACACGACGCTTAACTCTTTCAGAGTTTTGCATAATGTAGAAAAAAGGGGCGATAGGCTGATGAGTTAAATGCCCCTTATTTCCATTATCTCAAGTGGTTATTCATATTCAGAGGGATCCAAAGAAAGGATTTTGATTGACCTGTTGTATGTCCTTTCAGAAGGCATCTCATTCCAAGAGGGAAACATGCTTATTGTTTCATTACTCCCAAATAAAAGAACAACTTTTATTTAACTCAGTGTAGGCAGAATGTCTTGGAGGGGTGTCAAGGACAAGTCTGAAGTAGAAGTATCTGGAAAGTGTGAGGGTGTTTCTCATCTGATAGCTAGTGCCTGAGCTGGAAGCATTCTGCTGGTGTCTGTGCCTTGTTCTGCCCACTTGCCATCCACACTCAATGAGTTTTTTGTCCCCCAGAGAAGAACAATTTTTATTCTCTTTTCCTTCTACCAAAATGTCTGTGGCCTTGGCACATGTTTTCAGGACTTCGCCGTTTCTATGATTTTGGTAATGTAAATATTTTTCGTGATTATGACAGTCTTCCAAAATGATTTGATCTGGGAATTTAATATTCATCAGCTGGAGATAATGGAACATGAAACAACAGGTTGGCTTTGGCAGTCTGGGTCAGGATCCGCCACGAAATGTGTGTCCTGATGACCTCAGTCGATCTGGTGTCTTTTTATTTCAACCTTCTTTGATTCTGAATTTCACGAGGGTGTTTCTCTCTTTGCAAGTGTGTTTCCTGATGTCATTAGAAGCTGTAGATTTCAGAGACCACATGTCCATGGGCCAGGTGTCTCAAGAGGGATCATTAATTCGCAGTTGCTTGAGTTCGGTGCACACGTGGTTAAAGAGGAAGAAGGTGTTAACCTTTCTCAAATGAGTTCTGTTTCATGTTTGTACACACATGCTCTTTTTAAAAATTCTGCAGGCATATTGTTTACGGTGGGTACTGGCAAACATCACGTCTGCTTGCATCTTGCTCAGAATCTCAATAACTCGATCATTCAGCCCTGGTGCTTATTTCTCTTCTAGGTCTTTGTGGAGAGTTGATAATGCCTGCCATCTGCCACAGAGCACATCGCTACCTGCCAACAGGCAGGCTGGGGTGACCTCTGCTTCCCCACTACTGATTAGTATTCACACGCTAGCTTATTAGGAGTGACCCCACCAGGCCTCTCTGTTTCTTTGCCTTTGCCGTGCTTGGCGGCTCACCTGGCAGGCACGGCAGTGAAGGAAGCTAAAGATATAATCAGGGGATGCAGGCAGGCTTTGCAAACCAGATGGCGTCCACCGTCCTGTGGCAGGGGACCGGACTGCTAATGCAAACGTTGATTCCTAATACCAGAATGGTTGCCTCCTAGAAAGCACCATCAGAGTTTTGAGTTAAATCCACTCATGTGAAATGTATCAAAGATATTTCTTCACAGAATATCTGAAAGAAAGGTGTGGCTGTCTTATTGAAGAAGACTTTTGATTGGAAAGAGATTCTTACGACACGTGTAAAAAGGGGGAGCAGATAAATGCAAGCCTTTCAAACTGTACAAACCACTCTTTTTTTAAGTCTATCTAAAAGAGAAATTAGAAATGAGCTAGGAGATAGGCCTTCAGTGAATGGACCTTTAGTGAATATTTTCTTATTCTTTTACAGCTTTGAGAACTGGTGAAACTCTATGTATTAAAAACATCATATGTTCTTTCTATCGAAATCCAAATTTTTCTTGGCAAAAAGGAATCTGGGTTCCTCCTATAGGTTAGTGTTTATGTACAAAGAAAATGGTTAGATTTACTTACCTGTCCATTGCTTAGTTACGGCTTAAAATTAAGGTCATATTTGATTTTCATCTAATTTTGCATTTTAAATTAGATTTTTGAAAGAAGCCATATTGAAGAGGAGTTGAGCATTGTCTTTCTCATTAGTGAGTGACCTACAACCAAACAGTGAAGGTTTCACCATTCCTGAAGTTGTTTAAAATTTGGCCTTCTGCCAAAACAAACATATGCCTAGAAATAACTTTTCCCAGTTCTGTAGACAATATGACTATAAATATGTTAAAAGGGACTAGGCAGGGGCACCTGGGTGGCTCAGGGGGTTAAGCCTCTGCCTTCAGCTCAGGTCATGATCTCAGGGTCCTGGGATTGAACCCCACATCTGGCTCTCTGCTCAGCAGGGAGCCTGCTTCCCCCCCTTCTCTCTCTGCCTGCCTCTGCCTACTTGTGATCTCTGTCAAATAAATAAATAAAATCTTAAAAAAAAAAAGAAAGGGACTAGGCAGCATGAGACTTTGTTGTGAGACCAGATCTTTGCTCTTCTATTGATCTTGGGAGGTTAATTTTGGAAAGAATAGCAGAATCACCCTAGCCCTAGCTTATGTAGAGGCCTTGGGTAACCAGTGATTACTATCACAATAATTTTTTAAAGTGTGTGTTTATTGGACATTATGTGGCACTCTTCTAAATGTTTTGTATTAAATAATTTAATCATCACAACAAGCTTGTCAGGTACAGTAGGACTCTCCCCACTTTACAGAGGAGGAAATAGGCACATAGAGGTTAAGTACTTTGCTCAAGGTCACACAAAGGTTATAAACTCAGGCATTCTGGATCCAGAGCCTGTTTTCTTAAATCATTACACCTAGCCATGTGCTTTCACTCAAGCAATTTGCATGAGTAAGTTCTCTCAATTGGGTGAGGGAACCATCATGAAAATTTCTATATTCTCATGTGCTCCCCTTATAAAATGCAAATACCCTATAAAATAAGAGGAAATGCCTTTGTACGTTGCAAAATACAGCTGGAATATATGGTTCTTCTGTAATTGTTTTCAGGCAAGAAGCCTGTACCTTTCGAAATATGTAAGCAACATTCCAGTAGAATGGAATAGACAAAGCAGAGTCCCAGCTCCTAACGAGGCACTGCTGTTTTCTGCTTCGGAGGTCTGCTGTTAACAGAGTCCACCTGAATTTCTTTCTTTCTTTTTTTTTTTTCCCTCAGAATAAATGGATAAGCCGCAGCCCTATGCTGCAGAGAAGGGTCTACCATTCCATGGCTGCTGTTCAAAGAAAGCTTTATGTTCTTGGAGGCAATGACTTGGACTACAATAATGACCGGATCCTTGTGCGGCATATAGATTCTTACGACATAGACACTGACCAGTGGACGCGTTGTAATTTCAACCTGTTGACTGGCAAGTACCTTTGACTAAGTAAATCAGGAAAGTCAGAGATTCAAGAAATTGCCACTCTTGTTTTCTTAAACATCTTCAGTGCCTCCCTATCTTCAGTGCATGATGGCAGAACAACTTGTGTTCATTAACCGGAAAGACTTGTCTCTTGGCATTATTTGTCTTACAAAATGTGACTCAGTCAAGTGGCTGAGCTAGTTTCTCAGGGTCTCTGTTACCTTCGTGCATCTTCTCACTTGTCTGAGAGAGGTCTGTCAAGTCCTTTCTTGTCAATAAATATGCACGTAGGAACTTTGAGGTGATTAGGAGGAACGGGGGAATTAATAACTTTACAGAAGCAACATATTTCTTTTCTTTTCACTTCTAGTCCTCTTTTATTTATTTTGAGGTCAGGCATCTGGTCGTCATTGTTTGTTACTGTCAGGTACGATTTCTGGCTGTGTTCTCCTAACAACTAAATCTTAGAGCAGTTCTGTGCATAGGGGTTTGGTGGTGTTTCCGGCCACATAGCAGTTCAGTCATTACCCAGGGAAACACTAGGTATGGACCCTCCTGATCCCAAAAGGGAATAAAAGGAAAGCAGTGAACAATGTACCCATAACGTTTCTTTATGGAGTTGAAAACTTTCTCTCCCTTGTCAGCGTACGTTGTAAACATGCACAGGTGACGAGGTCCCTTCTAGGCTGCTCTACCAAATAGGAAATTCACACACTCAACATGGTGGGCTGGACTGGCCCCTGAGGACATCTTCATATGCTGAGTGGGGCACTCCACCCCTCACAGCTGCTGCTGGGGAGGCAACAGCAAACTCGGACCCAGTGTGAGGGGGTTAGATGCTTTGTGCAGAGCTCCTGTTTTTGTGAAAATGATCTTTAAGGCCCACCTACAAGTACTTAACCCTCTCCGAGTTTCTGTAGTGGCACCTTAGTCCCTCCGTCCCTGGATCTGCGATTCTGTCCGCTGTAGGACCCAGCTTATTTATTACCACAGTCAATCCGGTGTCAGCCCATCAATAAAAAGAGACTCTCTTACTCTCAGATGGCCTCCAGGAAAGAATAGGTGGTAGTGAGTTATTCTGTCTTCTTTTTTTAAATGGGGGAGGAAGCTTTCATTATTCTGGCATGTCAGTATCTAGAGACTACCCGTGCTGGCCCCAGATCGGGAACTTTAATATAGTCTTAAAACGGTTGTGTATGTAAAAAAAGGGAGGCTAGTAACTTTATCAATCTTTTCTGTCATTTGCCTTCATTTGGGGGACACTCGGGGCCTGGTGGCTTTATTGACTTCTTGGGGTTGCTGCTGTTACTTTACAAATGTAAGTGCTTGCTTTAAAAGCATTTATGGGGACGCCTGGGTGGCTCAGTTGGTTGGACGACTGCCTCCGGCTCAGGTCATGATCTCGGAGTCCCGGGATCGAGTCCCGCATCGGGCTCCCAGCTCCATGGGGAGTCTGCTTCTCCCTCTGACCTTCTCCTCGCTCATGCTCTCTCTCACTGTCTCTCTCTCGAATAAATAAATAAATAAATCTTAAAAAAAAAACATTTATGGAGGTGTTTTGCATTTTGAAAATATACCTGTTTCCACCGGCTGTAGGTAATTGGCATAAAATGGAGCGTAGAACTCTTATTTTGTTATTGCTTATTATTGCTGTATTTAATGCTGTATTTACCCACTTGGCTGGCGAATAAGTGTTTTGGCTTGGTTCTGACCTGACACAGATTCATTCTCTGTGAACGAGTGGTGAATTCTTCCCTCTGAGTACTGGGAGGCGGTGATTAGTTGCCACAGAAATCCTGTGGAGCATACAACTGTGCCACAGGGGGAACTTGTATCCTTCAGTGGCAAAAGGGTTAATTAAGACATGCAAGGAAATGGATTTATTTTTTTCTTTTTATTCAATTCTCTTTACTTTAGGCCAAAATGAATCTGGAGTTGCTGTCCATAATGAGAGAATATATTTAGTTGGTGGATATTCGATTTGGACAAATGAGCCTCTGGCTTGTATCCAGGTGAGTGGTTGAAGTTCCTTTTGAAGTTTGTTCAAGCGGTTCAGTGAGGTCACTTTTTGCAGTGCTGCTACTGAAGGAAGAGCTGTGTACATGTAGGAAAAGGTTTGAATTCCCTTTGTGCAGCGAGTTTAGACACTAAACTTCATCCTGCTTCCTAAAAATGACACCTAAGAAATGATGGAGCCCTAGTGAAAATAAAGATGGGGGTGAGCTTTGAAAATCTATATGATTAATGAATAAATAAATAAAATAAAAATAAAAAATAAAATATATATGATACCATCCTGGAAATGGGGAAAGTGGGATAACTTTCTTTTTCTCATAAACCAAAAAAAACCAAAAAAAATCTAGAAAGTTTTAGCAGTCGTACTATCACGCTCCCAAAACTTTACAAACGCCTCCTTCCCACACAGTTGCTTTATTTTCTGTACCACAATTTGTTCATTCCAGTAAATCCCACCTATGAAGGTGTTCTTCCTTCCTGGCAGAATTTGGGAGCAGTAGGGGTTTATGATTAGTCTGATGAAGAGAGCCTGTGCCCCCAGACAACAGCCCTGGCACAGCAGCCTGTGAGGAGCATAGGTGAGGCAGGGTACCCCTGAGCTTTTCAGAACAGTGATAGCTTTTGTTGATACACATATTCAAGGTCTTATTATTTTATTTTTTACAATTGTTACCATAGTTGTTTCTCTGTTTTACGGGCTCTCTGATAATGTGTTGACATATATTAGGCCTGATTTATCTCTTGATCTCCAGAAAAATATATCCTTAAAATTACCATTATTATCTAACCTCACCTTTAGGGGAAGATTTTTTTAACCACTGCTTCATTATCTTTAATAGTCACAGGACTATTCAAGATTTTAATTTTTTATTCAGTCACATCTCATAAGGTATATATATATTCTCAAGAAACTTTTCCATGTTGTCCCAGTTTTCAAAATTGTTGGCATAGGGCGGCTGGGTGGTTCGTTGGTTAAGCTACGGCCTTTGGCTCAGATGATGATTCCAGGGTCCTGGGATCAAGTCCCACATCGGGCTCCCCTGCTCTGTGGGGAGCCTGCTTCTCTCTTTCCCCCTGATTATGCACTCTCTCTCTCTCTGTCAAATAAATAAATAAAATCTAAAAAAAAAAATATTGCTACCATATAGTTGTTTTGTTACCACTCAATTATATCCCCTATTATTTTCATAATATTGATTATTTTTTCTTTTCTTCTCTTGATTTCTCTTGCCAAAGGTTTGTCTGGGTATTTAATATACTTCTCTTAACTAGATCTGCAAGGATAGCCTAAGTATGAATGGATAGCCTAAGTATGAACAACATAATAAACAAGCTGGCCCTAATGGATGTGAATTCTGGATTGAATAAGATAGAGTGGGTTTTTTTTTCAGTTTATTGAGATGTTATTAACATTTAATATTGTATTATTAATTCAAGGTATACAGAAAATGTTACATATGTATATACTGCTAAATGATCACCAAAGTAAGTTTAGTTGACATCCATAACCCCACATAGTTACAGAAGTTTTTTCTGTTTGTGATGAGAACTTTTAAAATCCTGAGCTGTTAGCAACTTCCAAATATTTAATGCAGTATGGGTACTTGTAGTCACTGTGCTATACATTACATCCCCAGAATTTATTTTTCTTATAAATGGAAGTTTGTATCTTCTTTTTTATTGAATTATATGTGAAATACAAGACAACAGTAGCTTCAGGCATATAGCATAGTGATTCAACAAGTCTATACATTGTGCTGTGCTCACCACAGTGCTAACTACCATGTGTCATCATAGAACATTATTACAGTATCATTGACTATATTCCCTATGCTGTGCCTTTTATCCCTGTGACTTATGCAGTCCATAACTGGAAGACTGTATGTCCCATTTCCCTTCACCCATCTTGCACATTCCACGCATCCACCTTTCCTCTGGAAACTATCAGTTTGTTCTTTGTAAGTCTCTTTCTTGCTTTATATGTTTTGTTTTTTGTTGATTCTACATATAAGTGAAATCATATGGTATATGTCTTTCTCTATCTGACTTATTTCACTTAGCATAATATTCTCTAGGTCCATCCATAATGTCACAAATGGCAAGATCTCATTTTTTATGACTAATATTCATATATATATATATATATATTAGGGATGTTGAGCATTTTTTCATGTGTCTATTGGCCATATATACATCTTTGTTGGAAAAATGTCTCTTCAGGTTCTTCACCCACTCATTTTTTTATTTTATTTTATTTTATTTTATTTTATTTCTTTTCAGCGTAACAGTATTCATTGTTTTTGCACCACACCCAGTGCTCCATGCAATACATGCCCTTACTAATACCCACCACCTGGTTCCCCCAATCTCCCACCCCCCGCCCCTTCAGAACCCTCAGGTTGTTTTTCAGAGTCCATAGTCTCTCATGGTTCACCTCCCCTTCCAATTTCCCTCAACTCCCATCTCCCCTGTCCTCCATGCTATTTGTTATGCTCCACAAATAAGTGAAACCATATGATAATTGACTCTCTCTGCTTGACTTATTTCACTCAGCATAATCTCTTCCAGTCCCGTCCATGTTGCTACAAAAGTTGGGTGTTCATCCTTTCTGATGGAGGCATAATACTCCATTGTGTATACAGACCACATCTTCCTTATCCATTCGTCCATTGAAGGGCATCTTGTTTCTTTCCACAGTTTGGTGACCATGGCCATTGCTGCTATAAACATTGGGATACAGATGGCCCTTCTTTTCACTACATCTGTATCTTTGGGGTAAATACCCAGTAGTGCAATGGCAGGGTCATAGGGAAGCTTTATTTTTAATTTCTTGAGGAATCTCCACACTGTTCTCCAAAGTGGCTGCACCAACTTGCATTCCCACCAACAGTGTAAGAGGGTTCCCCTTCCTCCACATCCTCTCCAACACATGTTGTTTCCTGTCTTGCTAATTTTGGCCATTCTAACTGGTGTAAGGTGGTATCTCAATGTGGTTTAAATTTGAATCTCCCTGATGGCTAGTGATGATGAACATTTTTTCATGTGTCTGATAACCATTTGTATGTCTTCATGGGAGAAGTGTCTGTTCATATCTTCTGCCCATTTTTTTATATGATTATCAGTTTTGTGTGTGTTGAGTTTCAGGAGTTCTTTATAGATCCTGGATATCAACCTTTTGTCTGTACTGTCATTTGCAAATATCTTCTCCCATTCTGTGGGTTGCCTCTTTGTTTTGTTGACTGTTTCCTTTGCTGTGCAGAAGCTTTTGATCTTGATGAAGTCCCAAAAATTCATCTTCGCTTTTGTTTCCTTTGCCTTTGGAGACATATCTTGAAAGAAGTTGCTGTGGCTGATATCGAAGAGGTTACTGCCTATGTTCTCCTCTAGGATTCTGATGGATTCCTATCTCACGTTGAGATCTTTTATCCGTTTTGAGTTTATCTTTGTGTACGGTGTAAGAGAATGGTCGAGTTTCATTCTTCTGCATATAGCTGTCCAGTTTTCCCAGCACTATTTATTGAAGAGACTGTCTTTTTCCCACTGTATATTTTTTCCTGTTTTGTCAAAGATTAATTGACCATAGAGTTGAGGGTCCATATCTGGGCTCTCTACTCTGTTCCACTGGTCTATGTGTCTGTTTTTATGCCAGTACCATGCTGTCTTGGTGATCGCAGCTTTGTAGTAGAGCTTGAAATCAGGTAACGTGATGCCCCCAGTTTTATTTTTGTTTTTCAACATTTCCTTAGCGATTCGGGGTCTCTTCTGATTCCATACAAATTTTAGGATTATTTGCTCCAACTCTTTGAAAAATACCGGTGGAATTTTGATCATAATGGCATTAAAAGTATAGATTGCTCTAGGCAGTATAGACATTTTAACAATGTTTATTCTTCCGATCCAAGAGCATGGAATGGTCTTCCATCTTTTTGTGTGTCTTCTTCAATTTCTTTCATGAGTGTTCTGTAGTTCCTCGAGTACAGTTCCTTTACCTCTTTGGTTAGGTTTATTCCCAGGTATCTTATGGTTCTTGGTGCTGTGGTAAATGGAATCGATTCTCTAGTTTCCCTTTCTGTATTTTCATTGTTAGTGTATAAGAAAGCCACTGATTTCTGTACGTTGACTTTGTATCCTGCCACGTTACTGAATTGCTGTATGAGTTCTTGTAGTTTGGGGGTGGAGTCTTTGGGTTTTCCATATAAAGAATCATGTCATCTGCGAAGAGAGAGAGTTTGACTTCTTCATTGCCAATTTGGATACCTTTTATTTCTCTTTGTTGTCTGATTGCTGTTGCTAGGACTTCTAATACTATGTTGAACAAGAGTGGTGAGAATGGGCATCCTTGTCGTGTTCCTGATCTCAACGGGAAGGCTGCAAGCTTTTTCCCATTGAGAATGATATTTGCTGACCCACTCATTTTTTTTTTTTTAAAGATTTTATTTATTTATTTGACAGACAGAGATCACAAGTAGGCAGAGAAGCAGACAGATAGAGAGAGGTGGAAGCAGGCTCCCTGCAGAGTACAGAGCCTGATGTGGGGCTCGATCCCAGGACACTAGGACCATGACCTGAGCCGAAGGCAGAGGCTTTAACCCACTGAGCCACCCAGGTGCCCCCACTCATTTTTTTAATCAAATTTTTTGCTGTTTTTTGATGTTGAGTTGTGTAAGTTTTTTACATATTTTGCATATTAAGTCCTATCAGATATATAATTTGCAAATATCTTTTTCCATTCGCTGGGTTGCATTTCCATTTTGTTGATGGTTTCCTTCACTGTGCAAAAGCTCTTTATTTTGGTGTAGTCATAATAGTTTATTTTTGCTTTTGTTTCCCTTGCCTGAGAAAACATATCTTAAAAAAAAAAATGTTATTAAGGCCAGTGTCTAAAGAGATTACTGCTTATGTTTTCTTTTTCTTTTTTTTTTTAATTAACATGTAATGTATTGTTCTGCCTATGTTTTCTTTTAGGAGTTTATGGTTTCAGGTCACACATTTAGGT